TCCAGGCTTCTGGGTGCAGTGAAGTGGATAAGTGGGTTTGAGGCATCTACATCTGCCTCCCCATCCCAGCTGCGCTTGGAGAACTGTGGAGCTTCCAACAAGCAGGGGGGGGGGCCACACAGTGTCCCTGAAGCCCAGCTTATCTGGAACTACGGAGTTCTAAACAGGCAGAAGAGGGCCACTGGTTCTACAGGCCCAGTGGCTTGGGGTAACAGGGTGCCAGAGTCTCAGGAGCTGCGAACAAAGAAGGGGATTTCCAACAGACCTTCAAGAAGCTTTCAAATAACTTGAAACACAGAAATATAGGAAAGTAACAAAACGAAAGACCAAATTACAGCCTCAAACCTCTGGCCCATCTCAAGAAACCCTAGGAGCAATGTATATAGAAGAAAATATATGCCATTCACCTCAAATATTGGACACAGTAGCTACTGAAATTAAAAAGCAACTCCAGGAAGCTATAAAGAAATTCAAACTCGAAAAAATCTCCCAGGTAAAAGAAGAAATGATAAAAGAAATGAAAGAGATTCTGAATATATCTAAAGAAAACACAGTTTAAAAAATTGGAGGAACTAAACAAAAAGATAGAATCCCTAAATGAGCAATATAAGAAACAAACAGAATACATAAAGCAGATGCACAGAGATATACAGGAAATAAAAAACTCCACTGAAAGTTGTAAAAACCACCTCAATGAAAGTGAAGATAGAATTTCAGACCTTGAAGACAGGATTGCAGCTAGTGAACAGGAAAGGAAAGACCTTTTAAAAATAACAAGGAATCAGGAAACAACAATTCAACAACTGCAAGATGATGCAAAGAAAAATAACATAAGAATGATAGGGATTAATGAAAAAGAAGGAGACAACATAAAGGATGTCGAGAGGATATTTAGAGAAGTAATAGCTGAAAATTTCCCAAGCATGAGATCAGAAACTGACATCAGGATCAGTGAAGCATATAGAACTCCAAATAGTTATAACCAAAATAAAACCACACCCAGACATATAATAATCACCATCCCAGAAATCCAACAAAAGAATAGATTATTAAAAGCAGTCAGAGAGAAAAGACAGATCACTTATAAAGGAAAACCTATCAGAATCACAGCAGACTTCTCATCACAAACAATAAAGTCAAGAAGAGCATGGAGTGAAGTATTCCAGATCCTAAAGCAAAATGATTTCCAACCTAGACTGATGTATCCTGCAAAACTATCGTTCAAAATTGATGGTGAAATATGATACTTCCCTGACAAAAAACAGCTGAAGAACTTCATGAACACCAAACCAACCCTGCAAAAAATATTGAAAGGCAGTTTAGATACACAAAGGAAAAAACCACTAAGCAAAGCAGATAATTAAACAGAACAGAAAGATAAAGATGCAACAGCAGAGAAATAACATGTCAACAATAAACCAGCATTTAACAGTAATAACCATTAATGTAAATGGTCTCAGTGCACCAATCAAAAGAAACAGACTAGCAGAATGGATCAAGAAACAAAATCCAACCATATGCTGTTTATAGGAAACCCATCTAACCCAGAAGGATACTCACAGACTGAAAGTCAAAGGATGGAAAACAATACTTCATGCAGCAGGAATCCAAAAAAAAGCAGGAGTAGCCATTCTGTTTGCATACAACGTGAACTTTAAACCAACAATGACCATAAAGGACAAAGAAGGTCACTACATACTCGTTATGGGAAAATTCCAAGAGGAAGAGATAACTATCTTAAATATATATGCACCAAACTCCAGAGCATCCAGTTATATAAAACAACTATTAACAGAAATGAAAACTCAAATTATCAGTAACACAATTGTAACAGGAGACCTTAATATGCCATTGACACCAAGGGACAGATCAACCAGACAGAAAATGAGCAAAGAAATAACAGAACTGAATCACACCTGTGAACAAATGGATTTAATAGACATATACAGAATATTCCACCCAACAACATCAGAATACACATTCTTCTCAGAAGTACATGGATCATTCTCTAAAATAGATGATATATTAGCTCATAGAACATACTTAAACAAATGCAAAAGAGTTGAAATCATCCCTTGCATGTTATCAGATCATAGCGCCCTGAAATTAGAAATTAATGATAAAAGATACTGCAAAAATCCCACAAACACATGGAAACTGAATAACACACTCTTGAGTAATCAGTAGGTCACAGAAGAAATTAAAGAAGAAATTAAACAATACCTAAAAGAAAATGAAAATGCAGATACAACTTACCGGAATTTGTGGGATGCAATGAAAGCCGTCCTCAGAGGAAAATTTATTGCACTGAGTTCCCACATCAGGAAAACAGAACGAATACAAATAAATAACTTGATGCTACACCTCAAACAGCTAGAAAAAGAAGAGCAAGTCAAGCCCAAAGCCAAAAGAAGAGAGGAAATTATAAAAATCAGAGCAGAAATCAATGCAATAGAGACTAAGAAAACAATCCAAAGAATCAACAATCAAAGAGTTGGTTCTTTGAAAGAACAAATAAAATCGATAAGCCCCTAGCCAACCTTATTTTAAAAAGGGAAGAAAAAGCTCAAATTCATGCAATAAAAAATGAAAAAGGTGAAATCACTACAGACCCAATAGAAATACAGAAGATCATCAACACCTATTTCAAAAACCTCTACTCTGAAAGGTTTGATAACACAGAAGAAATAGACAGATTCTTAGAAACATATGAAGTACCTAGGCTAGATCAAGAGGATGTAAAACTGTTGAATAACCCAATCTCTGTTAATGAAATTGAAAATGGAATTAAGTCCTTACCTACAAAGAAGAGCCCAGGCCCAGATGGATTCACTGCAGAATTCTACAAGAAATACAAAGAAGACCTAATACCGATGCTCCTCAAACTATTCAATGAAATTGAAAGGGAAGCAATCCTTCCTAAGTCATTCCTGGAAGCAAATATTACTCTAGTACCAAAACCTGAGAAAGACCCAACTAAAAAAGAGAACTATGGACTGATCTCCCTAATGAACACAGATGCAAAAATCCTCAATAAAATATTGGCAAATAGGATGCAGCAAATCATCAAGAAGATTATACATAATGACCAAGTGGGATTCATCCCAGGAATGCAAGGATGGTTCAACATACATAAATCAATAAATGTAATTCGCCATATCAATAAAGCCAAAAGTAAGAATCACACAATCATTTCTATAGATGCAGAAAAAGCCTTCATAAGGTCCAACATTCATTCATGATAAGAACTTTACAGAAAATTGGAATAGATGATCTTTACCTCAATATAATAAAGGCCTTTTATGACAAACCAACAGCCAGCATCATACTAAATGGCCAAAAATTGAAAGCCTTTACTTTAAAATCAGGCACAAGACAAGGATGTCCTTTATCATCACTCCTATGTAATATAGTACTGGAAGTACTAGCCAGAGCAATTAGGCAAGAGAGAGAAATAAAAGGGGTAAAGATAGGAAAAGAAGAAGTTAAATTATCATTGTTTGTAGATAACATGATACTCTACATAGAAGACCCCCTAAACTCCATTGAAAGACTCTTAGATACAATAAATAAATTCAGTAATGTAGCTGGATACAAAATCAATACTCAGAAATCAATAGCATTCCTATACATGAACAACAAAATCACAGAGAGGGAAATAAGAGAAACTGGATTATTCACATTAGCAAGCAAAAAAAATGAAATATTTAGGAATTACTCTTATGAAAGAAGTGGAAGACCTATACAAGGAAAATTATAATACACCGAAAAAAGAAATTGAAGATTATCTCAGAAAATGGAAAAACATCCCTTGCTCATGGATAGGAAGAACAAACATTGTGAAAATGGCCATTCTCCCAAAACTGTTATACAGATTCAATGTAATCCCAATAAAAATACCATCAACATACCTTATAGATCTAGAGAAATCACTCCTAAAATTCATCTGGAACCAGAAGAGACCTAGAATAGCAAGGACAGTTCTAATCAGCAAAGGCAAGGCAGGAGGCATCACAATCCCTGACTTGAAGTTGTACTACAAAGCAACAGTAGTAAAATCAACATGGTATTGGAATCAAAACAGAGCTGAAGATCAATGGCATAGATTAGAAGATACAACCACAACTACAAACATACTCAACCACCTTATCTTTGATAAAGGAGCCAAGCAGGTTCACTGGAAGAACGACAGTCTCTTTAATAAATGGTGCTGGAAAAACTGGCTCTCCATTTGCAGAAAACTAAAGCTAGATCCATATCTATCACCATGTACTAAATTAAAATCTAAATGGGTCAAAGATATGGATATTAAAACAGAAACACTAAATCTATTGGAAGACAAATTGGGTAGAAACCTTGAAGACATAGGAGTAGGTAGAGAATTCATGAACAGGACTCAAACCGCATGGGAAATACTTCCGAGAATCAATAACTGGGACCACTTCTTATTAAAAAGTTTCTGCATGTCAAAAGAAATCTCCAGCATAGTGAAAAGAAAACCCACAAACTGGGAAGATATTTTAGTGAACTCTCTCTCAGACAAGGGACTCTTGTCTAAAACATATAAAGAATTAAAAAAACCTCAGACCCCCAAAATTCAAAGATCCAATCCAAAAATGGGCATCTGAGATGAATACGTACTTCTCAGATGAAGAAATACAAATGGCAAATAAATACATGAAAAAATGTTCATCATCATTGGTCATTAGAGAAATGCAAATTAAAACCACACTGAGATACCATCTCACTCCTGAAAGAATGGCTAGGATCAAGACAACCAACAACAACAAATGCTGGAGAGGCTGTGGGGAAAAAGGAACTCTCCTGCACTGTTGGTGGGAGTGTAGACTGGTACAACCTTTGTGGTCAGTCTGGAGATTTCTCAAAAAGCTGGGATTGGAAGTCCCATTTATTCCAGCTATTCCACTTCTAGGCATATTCCCAGAAGAACTGAAAGCATCATACCACAGTGATATATGTGCACCTATGTTTATAGCAGCACAATTTTTTTTCAAAACCATTAACTATCAGCTTTATTTAAAAAATATAAATATTTGACATGTACAACTTAAAATTGTTGATTTTTTAAAATCCCACACAGAACTGACATAACAGAGACATCCACAGCAAGATAATCATTCAGACTGCCAGTTTCATCCACTAATTTAACACTAGTTTTCAGGAAAAATGAAAGATTTAATGTTAACAGCAATGAAGAAAAAACAATCATTTGCAACATGCTGCTATAATTAGAAAAACCAGTCCATGGATTACTGAAACAAAGAATTCCAACAGCAAATTTAGAGCTTCCTTAAAACAAAAACAAATTCAAGACTCTGAATTGATGCAAATACTCTACATTTGAGAAAAAACACTCTTCTTGTGAACTTTAACCCACAGCCGAATGTCCTCATGGTTTACAGAGGGATCAGCTCTGGCTCTGTGACTTCAGCCGTGCTCTCAGGGTTTGGATTCAGCCGACTGGAAGGAAAGCTCCCCGGCTGGGCAGGAATGGAGCTCCAAGTTGGGACGACCTGTCAAATGCCAGGGACAATGATACCTGTTTTGGGGGAAGCAGACTTACAAATTAGAATTATAGGAATAAAGAGGAAAAATTTAAAGTTAAAATACGTGTTCAAAATATGTGGATTACTGCTTCCCGGTGGCTTAAATTTCTATAACAAGGTCCGGTGTGAAAAACTCACTTAATGAAAATTTGGAGAGCTGAGACATGCTTATTCTTGCTGAATACATTTGCAGTATATACATTTCGTTCAGGGCTACTACTACATTGCAGGGTCTTTAGAATTGCTGGTCATTTTTTAAAAAGTGTAACTATGTCTTGTTTCTAAGTTTCAGTTATAATACTTGACCAGGAAAAAGTTCATGAACATTGCACTGACTTTCAGGTTTTACATCTCATTCCTGAAAAAAAACAAGACAACTCTGAATATTTTTCAAAAGTTCTTTTACAGAAGTTAAGACTTTTTTTAGACGAACTAAACAAGCAATAGCGAAGTTAAAGGGAAAGCCAAAAGACTGCTGCCCACCTGAATGAAGTGGGAGGAAAACTTAAAATGGTCTGCTATGGAGTGCAAGGCAAACGGGACTCAGAGGTTAATGGAGAGAGTGTCTCTCACTAAGTAAATGATGAAATGTGTCTGCCCACTTCAAACTCTTCTTAAATCATGAGTGGGACTCAGTTTAGGGAAATAGTATAATGTACCCTTCAGAAAAAAATATTTTATATTTTTCCATCACAAACAAAACATTGGTTATGACGTCCAGAGCCACCAAGCAACCTTTATTCTGTCCCATACAGCAGAAAGCGAATCCAAGGCAGGGCGCACATCCAGGATGGTGAAATGGTAGTTCTTGTTCACTTCGCCACCATCGTAGTAATCGATCACGTATCTAACTTCCGTCCCGCAGCGGTTGATGATCCAATCATGCCTGTCAAAAGGCAACTCATACCCCATCCAGGAACGAATTCTGGCCCTTGCTGAATACTGCTTTGCTTTCCCTCCGAATCGGATCAATGAGGGACCACAAGGACACTCAGCAGCATGAAGGGCTTCCCACTTCAAAATCTCCTTCCAGGCCTGCTCGTTATTCTGATTGTGAATCTTTGTGATATTATACGTATCTTTCTGTGTAATTTTTTTTTTGTCTTTTTCTTTTTTATCGGTACCAGGGATCGAACTCACGACCGCCTGCTTGCAAGGCAGGTGCTTATGCCGCTGAGCTAAATCCCCAGCCCCTATAGTTATCTTTCTGACTAATATCCTCATCCTTCCACTTCCACCCTTTCCTTAACATTGCATTCCAGAACATCTGTTCTGAAGGGTAGACCCACTTTTTCTCAGAGTCAGCAGCACAATTTGTAATCGCCAGATCTTGGAAACAACCCAAGTGTCCATGAACTGAGGAATGGATAAAAAAGTTGTGGTATTTCTATACAATGGAGTATTACTCAGCTATAAAGAAGGATCACATTGAGATATTTATCAATAAATGGGCACAGCTTGAGACCATACTCATAAGTGAAATAAATCAATCTCACATGTGTGAATACCGAATAGTTTCCCTAATATAAGTAAGATTCAAATATATAAAAATATATGGTAATCATGATTCCCCATTATGTGGCCTTGAAGCCTTATAAAGTTTTCACTTATTAATTGGGAAGCCTTTATTCTGGGCTTCTTGATATGGAAATATTTGAAGCTATAGTATATGAAGTTTTATTCAAATATTTCAAGGAAAAAGACAGACACTATGGTAACTACTATTAAGTCGGGTTATTTGGTGGTGAAGCACTAGGTTGCTGAAACAGTCATGCTTTGACCTGTATTGTTATATTGTTATGTCCTCTTTTATCTCAATCTCTACCTTATTCATTAAAAAAATTATTTAGTTATTTTTTATGGTTTTTTTTAATTAAGGGGAAAAATTTAAAAAATTAGCAGGATATATAATAGTAACTTTTTTTGATTACCTATTAACTTGTTTTGAAGTCCTGTAATACTCCCACTATCTTGTTTTGACTGATTAGACTCTGTTCCATTCTGTATGATAGTATCAAGTTTGAGGGTATCGGCAAGTACTTTGAAGGCAATAAGATTCACTAAGATGCCCATTCTGGTTTGACTATTGTCTTTCAGAAGTCCTGTAATGTTTACAATGCCTAAGTTTTATTGGTCTTCTTGTCTACTGTTTTGTTCAACTTTATAATACCTAATGAGATAGACAATTCTTTTTAAGGAAACAAGAGATATTATGGTAACCATTGTTGATAACCTTGTACTCTGTTTTTACATCATGTGCTATGTCTATCCTTGGTTTTGACTGACAGCAGTGTTTTGCCATATTTGACTTTATTCTCTCCCCCCAAAAAGTAATAAGAACTAAGGAGTAATAAAACCCAAAATGTATAAATTTTGATGTAAAAAAGAGAAGGAAGAAAAGTGCTCTAAAGGATACAACAGCAAGTGTGTTTAGGGGAGTTAAATAGCTGCCCATATTAATGTTTTTGGTTGGATCATTGAACACAACTGTTTGCAGTCTCACTGTTTGAATGTCTACTTTTTATGCTTTGATACTGTGACTTGAGCAACTATCTCTAAGATGATAATATGTAATCTATTAACTGGTGATTTCTTACTGTTTTTTTTTTTGTAGTTCTGTATTACTTGTACCCTTACACCGCTTTGTTTTGTTTTGTTTTGTTCTCTTTTTCCTTTTAAATAAAATTTTAAAAAAAGAGAGGCGTGAACACAAGGTCAAATGAGGTATGGGGCCTATAGAGATGGCAGGTCTAATTCACCTACCCAACAGCACCAGAAAAGAACAGGGCAAAACATGGACTGAGGTGCTCAGTGCTTGGCCACCCACATGGCCCCACGAAGAAACTGCATAGCAGCTAGGCAACCAGAAGAGGCTCACAGACTGGAGAATCAGTGTGACCTGCTCTGTTGCCACAGTATGGAGACCTCATTCCACCATAGGGAACCCTGCCCACCTCAGGGCAGTATTGAGTGGTTCTACAAACTGTCGCACAGCTGGGCATAAAGAGCCTCCAAGCACAGCTTTCAGTGCCAGCACCTGGGTCAAGCTGCCCAGCAAGAACACTCAGCTTTGAAGGCCTGGACATGACCCTCAGGCACATGTGTCCTTGGTTTCTCTGAGTTAGGCATCCATGTGTGCTTTAAGAATCTGGAAACTGGTTCTCCAAATGAGGACAACAGGTGCCACCGCAATGCCAAGATTTTATCCCACAGACAATGGTACGCTTGGTGTTGAACCTGTGGGCTCCTCTGAAGGCCTTGAATGGCATATGCCCTGGAGTTGCTAGGCCTTGCAGTAGTTGAAGCAGCGTTACCCCAGAATAATAACAGCTGTCCTGTCTGGCTCACAGCCTAGGAGCACCTGATTGGCTTTTGAGGGATCACATCAGATGTGGAGGAAATCTAGCTGGCTCGCCAGAGGACAGGCTGCAGGGCCAGAGAGTAGGACAAAGCTTTACCTTATGTGGCAGTTAGTGTTTTGCCATGTGTGTCTGTGAATATAACCAGAAAACTAAGACGTGCACATTAGAAAACTTTGGTCATTAAGATTGATACAGACTATTTATGAAGGAACATAGGTGGGAATGTGAGTTGGTATTAAACAGTATGGCTTGGTATTAATAGATAAAATGAAGATATGAGAATATACTTCTGTTAAAGAAGAAAAATATGTGCAACAACTTTAAAGGAAGTATTGTGTTAATGAATGAATAAAAAGGTAGGAAACAAGAAACAGAGGTATAAAAATAGTTGAGAGAGTATCGTTTAACTATAACCACAGCAGGCTGGGTGTGATGGCACGTGCCTGTAGTCCTAGTACTCAGGATGATGAAGCAAGAGGACTGCCATGAGTTCAAGGCCAGGATGGTCTCCATACTGAGTACAAGACCAGCTTGAGCTACACAGTAAGACTCTGTCTCAGAACAAACAAACACAAGCACTCCCAAACCAAACCAAAACATAAAACTATAACCACAGCAAAACTACATTTAATAAGAATAGATTTATATGTGTAAACATGTCATTTCATTAATATGACAACCTTAAAAAATATATGTATATGTATATAAAAATAGTTAAGATAGTTATATTACTGATTTCTCTGAGTTCACTGAAAAGAAACATTTGTGGTGGTATCATTTAGACAACTGCATGCAGATGTCTTGTGCTTTGGGTGAATGATTTGGGGATGACAGTGCACGATGTATGTACCACTGTTGCCCCAGATTGATGTGTTTTGAAATTTTGTTGTAGTGTTTTTTAATCCTTGAATAAAATGAATTTTAAAAAATAAAGTATAATTTAGACATTTATTTAAAAAGAGTAGATTAAATATTTCAATCAAAAGGTAGAGATTGCAGGCTACACAAAAAACAAGAAGAAACAACTCTACATTATCTTCAAGAGGTGGAGAGTAAAATTCAAGGATGGGAAAGAAAACATCATGTAAACAGCCATCATGAACAAGCTAGAGTAGCTTAGAGTTGCTGGAATAGCTGTTTTAATAGCACCCAAAATAGTCTCAATGAAATGAGTCTTATAAGGTAGAAAGGGACAATTCATAAATGTTTATAGGTCAATACATCAGGAAGACACAATACAAACATAAGCACATCTAATGGTAGGATGCCAAAATATATGACCCAAAGCAGACAAAACCAAAACAAAAATGAAAAATCCATAATCATACTTGGAGGTTTAGCATATCATTCTCAGTAATAGGGCTATTACATCAAAAAAAAATAAGGACTAGAGAGATACTGTCAGCTACTTTATTTCTTGATACTTGTAGAACACAACCATTAGTTCAGAATACACTTTCAAATGTATGTGTGACATCACCATGATGGACTATATGCTTGTCTTAGTAGATTTCCCAAGATCAGAATCTTACAGAATATGTTTTTGGACCATAATAGGATTCAATTAGAAACCTACAACAAATCTAGAAAGGATATCAAATGTTTAGATATCAACACATTTCTAACTGACCAGTGAGTCAAAGAATAAATCACAAAAACGATTAGAAATATTTTATTGGAGTAATAATGAAAATATAACATGAGAAAAATTGTGAGAGGCAATTGACAATATTTAAAAGGAAATTTATATCATTATCTGTGTCTTCTTTAGATATATTCAGCATCTCTTTCATTTCTTTTATCATTTCTTCTTTTACCTGGGAGATTATTTCTAGTTTGAATTCCTTTAAAGCTTCCCAGAGTTGCGTCTTTATTTCAGTTGCTATTATGTCCGATATTACAGGTGTATGGCATATATTTTCTTCTATGTACATCACTCCTAAGGTTTCTTTGGATGGGCTGGAGGTTTGAGATTGTAATAGAGTCTTCCGTTTTGGCATTTTCCTATATTTCTATCTTTCAAGTATTTCGAGTGTTATTCTAAGGCTTCCCCAGGGTCTGTTGGAAATCCTCTTCTATGCCCTCAGCTCCTGAGACTCTGGCACCCGGTTCCCTGGACTGATTAGAGGGTCACTGGGGGTGGAGCAGGCCAGCTCAAGCCCAGCCTCTGGAACCAATGGCGCCCGCCTGCTTGCTTAGCACTCCACAGTCCTCCAAGCACAGCTGGGAGCAGGGAGGGCCATGCCTGCGCCCTGGACCCGCAGCGCTGCTCCAGTGCACCCGGAAGATAGGAGGTTCCCTGGCAGGACCCAAGCGAGGGTTCCAAACTAGCTGGACTCCGGGGGAAAGTGCACGGGGCACTTACACCAGGCTGCCAGGCCTCTGGAGTCGTGGCTCCCGCCACAATTTATATCATTACATGACTAGATCAGAATTAGATCAGATCAGAATTAGAAAAAGAACAACAAACTGAAGCCAAAGTAAGCAGAAAGAAAAATTATACAAGAGCAAAAATCAATGATCGGAAAACAAAAATAATGAAAATGATGAAACCAAGTTGTAGTTTTTTGAAATGATCAACAGCATTGATAAATCTCTAGCAAGATTAAAAAAAAAGAGAAACACATCACCACTAGAAGGGATGAAAAGGGAACTTCATGATAAATGAAAAGGTTTCATGATACATCCTATACAGAGAAAAAGAATAAAAAGTTTATCAGGATTTAAGTTTATTTATTTATTTTTTGAGCCAGGGTCTCACTATGCAGTTCAGACTGGACTTGAACTCACTATTTAGCCCAGGCTGGTCTCACACTTGCAGTAATTTTCTTGTCTTTACCTTCCAAGTGCTGGGATTACAAGTGTGTGTGCCATCATGCTCATCTTGAGGTATATTTTATATAGGATAAAAGTTTTAACTGCCAGTGAAATAATGTGCACAGTTTC